AAAAAAAAAAAAAAAAAAAACAAACAAAATCCGAAAAAAAAAATCTCACGGCCCGGAACCGGTTGAATAATGTGTCGCGGTATCCTTTTCTAATAATATCACATTATAATATCGTATTTATAGGTTTGCCGGACTACCGGGGCCGTGCGCCGCGGGCCGCGTAAAATACGATTCGACCGGGTTTCCGAAAATAACATCGTATTGAAAAAAAAAAAAAATTAATAATAAACGACAAAACGAAAAAAAAAAAGAAAAGAAAATTGTAAAAACGAAAAGAAACCGAAACGCGTAGTCGTCGTACGCGACACGTTGTTATAACGGCCGCGGGGGAGGGGAGGGCGGTGAGGGGTGGGGGGGAGATTTCGTCGTTTACGCATCGACCGACTGTCGACCGTAATGGCTGCGGTGTGTTGTGTAGCACACGCGATGAACGGTATGGCGGGAGCGGGGGCGGGCGAGGCGGGAGAAATCGCCGGCAAAAGTGGGTCGAGGCGCCGCGTATCATTCGCGGACGTCGGGCGGGAAAAACGTAACGCACAGTTGATGAGGACGGCGTACGGTTTTCGCCGCGGCGCGAACGAGACATGCGAGGAAAATACGCGGAAATCGCGTCGACGTTCGCCGTCGAGATACGCGCCGAATGACGTCCGCGACGCGTATCGGCTCGCGGAATCCTGAAAATTGTCGTTGGAAAAAACGGCGCGGGAACGCAGAAACGGACGAATATGACCGACCGACGATTGTGCCGCGCTCGGGCGGCGGACGCGCGGCGAAACGTCACGGGTTAGCGGTCTTCCGAAACGGGTACGCGCGGTACAATTACCGGGCTCTGCAATGGGTTTTGATCGTCAAACGGGCCGCGGACGGTCGCGAGTAACGCGGGCGACCCTCACCCCTCCCTCCCACCCCCCCGCGGTGGGCGTCGAACGCGCGCGGGTCGGCTTTCGGCGGTCGTCGGAAAAATACCCGCAGCGGCGATAACACCGTAATTACGGGGCGCGTCGTGATAACCGTCGGCGGCGGCGGCGCGTCTAGAAAAGGCGCAGTCGTCGAGTGATGGCGGGTGGGGGGGGGGGGGGGGGGGTGACAATGCACCGGTTCGGCGTAATCGACGCCGCCGGTGTAAATCTGGCGACGACACCTGTCGTCCCGGTCGGCCTCTCGCCTTGTCCGGCGCCGCGCGGTGCCGTCCGCGAAACCCGCACCCGTCGTCCGCGCGGCCGACTCCCCCGCTGCGCGACTCCGATCTCGTTGGGCAATTTATTGTCGCGTCACACGCTTCCCGTTAACGCTACGACGGTTATTATTATTATTATTGTTTTGCTTTTTGCTTTTTTTTTTTCTTCCATCCGTTAGAGTATTTCTCGCGCGACAAGAACACACACGGCGACACTAACACCGTAACATTTACGTACGTTTTTTCGATACTGTGTGATATCGTTTCGCCGTCACCGCGGGCCGGGTGTCCGCCGCGCGCGCTTAATCAACGCCGTCGCCGTCCACAAACTCCGCCCGCCGTCGTCGCGTATAGCAACGGCAATGTATGCTTACATTATATCAAATGTATTCCGCCGGAAACCGCGTATTCGCCGCGTTTCGATACGTCGTCGTAACGGCCGGCCCCGACGGCTCGCCGGGTCCGCGCCACGACCGGGGGCGGCGGTGTCCGGATCGCGGATCGTCGAATTCGCATTCGGGGCGTATCTGTTGTACGAATCGAAAAACCAAACGCCCATAGAAAACGTTTAAATCGAACGTCGGAAATCGGAAATCCGGCACATCACTATAAAATACAGCGGTCAATACAAAAATCGAAAATCAAAAAACCGCTTGGAAGAGATACGTGAACTAAAATAGGAAATCGTTTATTGCTACATAAACGTTTTTTTTTTTTTTTTTTGTATGATACGATTTTGTGAAAAAACAAAAAAAAAATTGATCAATGTTCCATATGGCATTTTAGACGGAGACTTTTCAGGTGTTTTTCTTAAACGTTTTTACGCGGTTTTTTTTTTACGGGTTTTAATAATTGCCCGAACTCTAATAATGATCCGTCGTTATATTTCGTCTCCGACTTAACGCATTAGGTACCCTCTCGTTTAAAACCTTTGGATGGCTCCGGCCGTATACCCGTACTGTAATGATACTGCGCTATTTTCGACATTATCACGATGTTTTAAAAACATTTGTTGACCGTTTTCGTTTTTCTTCTGTTACAGGTCTAGCCTAGCACGTCACCTCGTACGTGCGCGTGCGTTATTTTCGTGGTGATTCAAAGGCTGTTCAAATTTTAGCTGCACGAATGACTATGGCTGAGGTGGAAATGGAGCCGCCGACAGACAGGGCGAGCCGGTCGACCATCTACAAGACCAACAACAATCATCCGCTGGCCATGAACAACAACAACAACCACGTCACCGGCGCCCGTCCGATGGTGGTTAAACACAAAAAGCGCAAACGCCTAAACCAGGTACTGGACAGGTTAACGGGTCAAGCGACCTCGCCGAACAACAACAACAACAACGGGAGCATAATCAACAACAACAACAATAACAACGACAACAAAAAAGACCAAGACGTGGTCATGGACGAGGACGTGGTGATCAAAGAGGAAATGATGGTGATGGTGATCGACGACGTCCCCGTCAAGAACGACGTCGTCAACGGCGGCGGCATCGGGGGCTGGTACGACAGCGACGAATCTCTGAGGAGGTCGTCCAAAGACTACGAGGAACCGTTCAGCCCCGCCGGGTCGTCGTCGTGCAACCGGTCGCCCAGGAGTTCGCAAACCGACTCGCCGTGCAGTCCGAACCGGTACGATCTGCCGCCGGTACACGCTCCGACGCCCCTAAAGACATTACCGCTGCCGCCCGCTCAACTTCAGTTCCCCCCTCACCCCTCCGTGACGGCCACCCCGTCGCCCCTGCCGCCGCATCCGTTGCACCACTACCTTGGCAAGTATCCCAAGTGCAACTGTCTGCTTTGCGGCGGCGACGGAACTTCGCCGCCCCGTCACCCGCTGCCGCCGATGATGCCGCCACAGGCGCCCGTCTCGCCAATGTCGCCGGCGTCGCTGCTGGCCGGTTCCATGTACACGTTCGAACATTATCTGCACACCAAGTACCTGCCGGACATATTCCGGAAACGGCGGAGCCATTCCGATTCCGATGTTCCTATGTGGTTCGAAGCGACCAAAGCCGAACAATGCGGAGGTGACCAGACGAACGCCGTCACCTCCACGGCGGCGGCCGTCACCACCGCCGGCGGCGGGGTCGGTAAGAGGGGCAAGCGACCGTTTTCGGTGCCCCATCCGCTGGACAAACCTACGCGAAAGAGGGCCGGCAGGACGGCCGCGTCGTCGGCCGCTCGGCCTCCTCAACCGCCCCAAGACTCGCCCCTGGATTTGTCCATGAAGAACTGTCTTCAGCTCCTGTCAGCCCACCCCGTGGCCGCGGGGCCCGCCTCGGTCAGCTGCACCGGCGCGACCACCGTCGCGACGACCGCCGCCGCCGTCTCCGCACCGCCCGCGACGACGACGGCCGCGGCTTCCGTCGTGTCGGTCGGATACTACTGCAGCCGGCCCGGCAGCGCGGGCGGCGGTTACACCGTGCCCGTGGTCAAAGGCGACGTAGCGTCGCGCACCACCAAGGCGTCGGTGGCCGTCCGGTACAACTTGGAAGTGTCGCCCGTGGTCGAGGAGATGCCCGTCGGCTCGGACGTGGCGTACGTGTGTCCCGTGTGCGGACAAATGTTCAGTCTGCACGACCGGTTGGCCAAGCACATGGCGTCCCGGCACAAAAACAACAACAACAACAGCAACTCGTCGTCGTCGTCGTCGTCGGCGGGGGCGTCGTCCGGCGGAGCCGCCCAGTCGTCGGAAAACGGCGGCGGCGGCGACGGTTCCGGCAACGGCACCGCCAAAGCGTACCCGTGCGAGGTGTGCAACCGGTCGTTCGCGCGCAGCGACATGCTCACCCGGCACATGCGCCTGCAC